GCCAGAACATTAAGAACATCTTTCCATATTAATAAGTGAACCTCTACAGCATAATATTTAATGGCTGCAGAATGTGTCATTGTGATTGAATCACAATTTAATCGATCAATCCAGTAGAGTTGAATGTTTAAGTTGTCTTCAGTTTTTCACAGCTCCAAACATTACATGATTAACATCTTTGTAGCTAAATATTCTCATTCTCCCTTAGCTATTTCCTTGGAAATTATTCCTAGAAGAGATAATTCTGTTTCAATATTTAAGTCTTTTGATACATAACCTCCAGAAAGGTTGTATCAACATATACTCCCACAAGCAGTATATAAAAGTCTTCTTCAAAAGATTATATGCCTCACTTGAGGAGAGTTAACATACCCAGCCTTAGTAAGGAGTTTGTGTTAGAGGTAAGAGAGTGTGTAAATTGTATAGTGATTCATGTACATGTAAATAATCTTTTCCTAGATGGAAAATTATAGAGACCTTTGATTTCCCTGCCTTGAAGTTTGGTTTATTTTCCTGTTTGAAGAAAGTTTGCTAACTTGAACATCAGAAAGCAGCAGAGGCAGATTTAGAGAGGAAAACTATTTACATAATGCAGAGGAAAACCTGGTTTTGTGTTCTTTATTTAAATAATTATGGGGCCAAAGCACCAGTGCTCCCAGTGAGTCCAATAAATAGTTGTCGCCTGAAAAATTTCCTGGTAATGATGGTGATAGAAATAGGATATTGAGACAGGTGGTAACATTCTCTTTCCTAAAAAGGAATTGAATGATGACTTGAACTGTCCATAACACAGAAATTGTTTTCTTCCACAGTTATAAGTATGTGAAAGGGACACTATGAAACAAACAATATGGATTGGTAAAAAGACTGTCTAATGACAGAATAAGACCAGGGAGATGTATGTGTCATAGAAGAAAGAGACTGGACATGTATTTGGCCTTGAGTTACTCATTTTTCCATCCATTTAACAAATCTTATTGAGTATTCGCTATATTCCAGAACTTGAACTAAGTGCTTGAATACAGCAGTGAGCACACTGACATAATCTCATCCTCATAGGCTCAGAGTTAGGCAGAAAAAGGACATTATAAAGTAAATATGTTTTTGGGTCCAACATGTAAAGAGGTTGAAAGTCTTCACTCTCATCATTACCAGAACTGAACAAACTGAACATTAATGACTTTTCTTGGATCCATCAGAGAAATGAGGTCACAGGGCTGGGTGTCAGGCTGAGATTTGGAGAGACAGGTAAATTTGGAGAGTCACAGCTGAGATCTGCTTACCTAAAGCAGAAGTTAAACTGGTATGAACATTTAAATGGTGATTTTGACAAACTTTTAGAAATCCTTTAGGAGGTCAGCAGACCATCGGATGGAATGCAAACTCTAACTGTATTATAAATGTATGAAACAGCCTCACTGAAGGGATTGAGGAAAAACTGGGGACCTAAGTAGCATTGGAAATGAGCGGAATCTGTAAGACTAAAGGCAAAAAGAACTGAACATAAGCACTGTACTATAGTTGATAAAGTTGTTTCCCACAGGGGTATGAGTTAATAATTCTGGCACCACTATACGTGTACATCGGAATTGAACAACTAAGTAAAAGGATGGTAGATGGTGGGATCCTGGTTTCTCACTGTTGCAGTGGGGGGTTATAGATAAGCAAGGAGAGGAGGCTAGAATAATCCATGTGGTAATGGATTAGAGTTAGAGATATCAGTATGAACTCATGTTTAGTTTAATATAGATACAGATGGTTATATAAGTATGTATACATGTGTATGTGTTTGCGCATGTACATAGGCTAGTATACATACTAGTATATAAGCTTTTTCTTATTCTGTCAGCTGAGAGGGCCAAGAAGCAATGATACCCCAACAGCAATAAGCACACCTAGCACCCAGATGTTGGTTTCTAATACGATTTTCCAATAAAAGGAATTAGGACTCCTTGAAGAAATGGCTGATTCTAGGACTGGGGCAGGAAATATACAAGATAATCCTGGACTATCTTGTAGTGCCAGAAATAAGGAAGAAGTACCAAGAACAAAAATAAAAACAACTCCTCTCTACCCCCCAATACACTTTGAAAAATTGTTGAAGAGTTTTAACCAAGGCACTGACATCATGTTTTTGAAAGGATTTCTGGCTGAGGTATAGAATGTGAGTGAAAGGAGGGCAAGAATGTGTGTGGGCTAGAACAGTTAAGAGGCTGCTCCAGTGGTCCAGGTGAGAGACGATGGCAGCTTAGCCCAGAGATGCGGAGCAGGAGAGAGAGCAGATGGAGTTGGAATTCCAGCTCTAACACGAACTAGCAGTGAATCGCAGTTTGAACATGAGTAAGTCATTGACCTTTCCCGCCTCTAAATTTCTTCTCTTTTAAAAATGTGACATTCAGGGCAGAATCCAATTCATAGTTGTCTCTTAAAAAATATTAACTTTCTACAAAATACTATGTTTGACTGTTATTTCAAAAAATAACATTATAGTTTATGTCATAAAACTTGAGAAGTAATTTTCCTGCTTAATAAAGCATCATGTTCTGTTTCGATCGTCACATTTTTAAAGAAGTTTTTAGTGCTGAGATCTTAAACAGGACCAATGAAGACAGGTTAAAGGGGTTGAAATTATTTATTTTACATAAAAAGAGGATTAAGTGATGATTTGATGATATCAAACTATTTTCTGATAAGAGACAAGTTATAGAAAAGAAGGCAGCAAATTATTCTCTCTTTCACTCTTTCAGGAGTTTTAATGAGAAGAAATGGCTTAAATTGCTAGGAAGGAGTTGGGAAGTATTGTGGACTATTATCAGTGATAAATACTAGCGTGGTTTATAGAATTTCTGTGCCTAAAATCTATGAAACTAGGTCAGACAATGATTCGCGTTGTGTTTTGAATTTTCCTTTATAAAGACAGGTGGTTGGACCAGAAAGCCCCTGGAGGTCTCTTTCAACCCTTTCATTCCACGAAAGAAGGGATTAGTATCTACTGATTCTCACTTAGTGAGAGCTGTTTTCATCATGTTCCTTAATCCTTACGATAATCCTATGAATTTGAATAATTATTCCTGCTTTATAAACAGACATTTCTTGTCCTTCCTTCTTTCTTCATGCTTCAGAAAGATCATCTTTTTTGATGTCAAGGTAAGAATAACTGGGCCCTGAAATCTGCTTGTAAATCTTTTTATGTGTTAAAAGGTTTATAGTCACAGACCGAGGGTACAAAAATAAAACCTATTTCTCATTTCTGCTTGGTGGTGAAAAATGTACTTTTGCCTAGGTGAGGAAACTCACTCATTTGCATTTAGGGCTCAGTGTCTAGTCTGCCTCCTGCCCTTTCTTCCCCTTACCTCCTCTGGTGGCATCTGGGATTAGGGTCTATGTAACACCATGGGGTGAGGTGATGTGTGGGATGGATTCCGTGGTAGTCTTCTGTCCTTACTTGCCAGTCCTGATGGGTGCCTTGTTCTTGCAGTTCCTGTGGGGGTCAGCACCTGCTGGCCAGCTGTATCAGCTGACAGTGTCATTTCCACCATAGCCTTCAGTTATCTGGGCACCACAATCTGTATCAGCCTTATGTCAGCTATGAGTTTTCCTTTGGCCTACTGGTTAATTTCTATGCCTCTCTTGGGACCTAAGAACCTTTAGATACTTTGCCATGTGATTTTAGATCTGGAAGACCCTTGGGGGGATGTATCAGGCCCATTTTTTCTCTCTATCCTTCACCCATCGCTCCTCCACTCTCTGGTGTTTGGATGCAGAGCTTCTCTCAGAGGTTTGTAGTTTCTTTGTGCTAAACTATGAGAAGAAAGGCCGTATCATCAAGCCCCAGCATTCCTCTAACTGGTGGGCCAGTGGGATTAGAATGGGGTGGGGAACATGGCAGAGGCTCCTAGGCTCCAAATGCACATCTAACTCTTTTGCTTTTCTCTTTGAATTCTTCCTTAGTAGACCATAAAAGATTTTAATCACCTGTCTGGGTGTTAAGAAAGCTATTCTTGTGTCATCACATGTTCTTCTCTGCTCTATGTTTTGAGTTTTCTAGGCTTTGCTCCTAATCAATAACGCCAAGCATTTAGAATTCTCCCAAGTCCACTGGAAACTTCCTACAGAAAAATCAAGCCACATACAAGCCATTTTCTTTTAAATGCCTGGTTTTTGTAATGGAAAGCCACTGCTTTCAAGACTATTTTGGAACCAAAATCCAAAAATTTGACAGTTTTTTCTTACTGGATTGTTTTATATTCTCTCTTCTGGGGCAATAAACCCCAGCTTTATGGTCTACGGTTTTGTTTTTTGCTTTAAGTAATTTTGACAGTGAAACATCACCTACATATAGAAGAGTGCAAAAAAAAAGTGTATAATTTATTGGCATACTACAAAGTAAACATCAGTGATACCACCACCCACAGCAAGAAATAGAACATTACTAGCACCCCAGGAACTCCTCAGCCCCCTCCCAGATACTCTTCTTCCTTCAAAGGTAACCACTGATCCAACTTTTAATACTGTAGGTTAGTTTTGCCTGTTTTTGTATTTTAAATAAATAAAATCATGGAGGATGCATTATTTGTGTCTGACTCGTTTAGCTCAAATTTACATTTGTGAGAATCATTTCTATTGTTGGGAATAGCAGCAGTTGGTTAATTTTCACTGCTGAATATTCCATTACACGCATATTCCATAGTATATTTATCCATTTCATTGTTGATGGATATTGAAGTTGTTTCCAGTTTTGGACTATTGTGGACAATACTTCTAAAATCACGCTTGTAAATTTCATTTAGCACACAAGGTTTGCATTTCTGTCGGGTAAATTCTTTGAAGTGACAATCTTCATCTTTTAATTGGAGTGGTTAGTCTAGATACATTATCATTATTTTAATAGCTTCCTATCTTGTCTTCTTGCCTTTCTGTAATACCTTCTCTACACTAGAGAGTACTCTTTCTAAAAATCCAATCAGATCCCATCATTTATATTCTTAAATCCCTTCAACTGTGTCCTATCGCCCTGGGAATGAATTACAACCCGTTTACATGGCCCACTGGGCCTTCTACAATTTGGCTTCTGCTTGCTGCAGCTTTCAGTCTTTGCTCTAGCCAAACCTGTTCACCTCTCCTTCATGTGCTCTCTCACAAACTGCTTCCTCTGCTATAAACCCAGTTTTCTGTCACTTCTACCTCACTCCATGATTTTATCTGGCTAACTCCTACTTACCTCTTGAGTCACAGCTTGTCATTTCTGAGATAACACTGAAGGTTGAATTGTCAAATTCAGAGCACACAGACAATTGGAACACTCAAATGAATCACGAAAAAGTCTGAGCCCATCAACAAAGTAATCCAAGTCTGTTCTTGCCATATTAGGATGCATATTAGAACATATGAGGTTCTAAACGGTGCTTGAATAATCTTCACAAAGGGAACCATTTCCGTTATGGAGCATCTCCTTTATACACCCTGTTAATTACACAGCTTACATGACATTTTCTGATGAGCTATAATTTCAAGTTTGGTTATAATAAGCGAATTAGGTAGATCATAGTTAGACCATCTCATAGAAAGGACTCCCCGACTCTTGCCTGGAAAATACCATTAGGTCTCATGTTTACAAAGGGATTTGACTGTGGCATCTGTTCCTAGGCATCCCCCAGAGGAAGAAAATAGATTCCAGACCTGCTGCTAATCCTCTCCTTCCCAACTTCCTAAGGTAAGCATTTCTGACCCTCTAAATCTGGACAGGTGTCTCCATTAATATTTTCATATTTCCTTGTGTTTCTCCCATCCAAATGATTTCTGATATATTATAACTTCTTGGTTACTTGTTGCCTGTAGGCCCCTCAATACTGTGAACTCCATTAAAATGGGGATTATATATATTTTATTTACCATTGTACGTCTGATGCCCAGCACTGTTGCTAGAACATAGTAAGGATTCAATAACGTTTGTGAATTATTAAGTTGCCTAAATATATCTGTGCCTTTAAAATAAGGTCATTTGTTTACTCTGTATGACATTGTTGGTTTTTAAGCTTGTTTGAATAAAGCTTATATGTAGTTAACTTTGATGAATGATTCTAGCATAGCAGGAAGGAAAAGATTTATGGCTTTCCTGTACAAACCTTGTCATAATAATTAGATTTTATATTCTCATTGAATATAAGGCATAATATGTTTTTGACCTTTCCAGAAATGTATTATTTATACCCAGACTTATTTCCGCTGACTTTATCTGTTTCATTGTCCTCTTTTTTTGTCATTTTGTCACTCTTCTCCATTTCTCTCCTATTTTCCATCCACATCTATTTGCAGTGTGCATTTTCTTTCTTTCTTTAAAATCCAATCTCTTCCTTAGCTTTTGTCACTTCACAGAGATAATTTTAAAAATTAAATTTCCCTGCATTTGAATTTAAAGTAGAAACAGTGAGCTTCTTGTTTCCATAATTAGTGGCTTAGACCTACCTTTGTTCCACAAAGGCTGACCTCTAGTTTATCTATGAGGTTGATGGTAAGATTATGATAAGACTAAAAAGACTGAAAGAGTATGGGCTTTGTCTGTTTCTAAGTCATGCCAAAACATCTCAATGAAAAGGGCTATATTCACTCTTTTATTTGGATTCAAACAATACCTCACTCCAATGCAGTTCATAATAATAATCAGTTGATGTGACAGCTGATGTTTTCCTTAAACTAAAGTACCATTCATGAAGAGATATGGTTCCAGCTGCTATTACATGAGTTCTTTTGAATTAGACGTGTGTATGCTTTCTTGTGGCCTGGAACGGTTCAATTGTACCAGTCCTTTTTCTTTAGCATGTTTCTCTATTCAAATTACTACTAAATCTCTATTCCAATAGCATGTACAATCTCATTTGGTCTTCACTAAGAATATGTCACTTACGTATTTATCTCCCTCTATTCTTATCCCATTAGCCATTCTTCTCAGTGACAATTCGAGTGCTACTGCTTGGTGTCACATCATTATAATCGTAAGTGCAAATGAAATTATCTAGCAAGTCAGCAATAAGTTGGTCATCTGGATGTTTTAGGATAAGTTGATAGTAATTTTTTTCAGATAATTATCAAAATAGATACACAAAATTTAAATTTTGGAAGTAGGGCCCAGAAATCTGTGTTTTAGCTTTTTAGTGATTCTGATGCACATAAATGAAAAGTAGGGTAATATGGCTAGGTGTATTCTAAAATATGCACATGACTTGATGTATATGGCATGAATCATTTAATAGGATTCAATCTCAGCTATATAATGGGGCAAGGTTCTTATCAGTTTAAAGATTTTATTTTTTTTTCCGTTTTCTCCCCAAAGCCCCCTGGTACATAGTTGTATATTTTTAGTTGTGGGTCCTTCTAGTTGTGGCATGTGGGATGCCGCCTCCGCATGGCTTGATGAGCGGTGCCACGTCCGCTCCCAGGATTCGAACTGGTGAAACCCTGGGATGCTGAAGCGGAGCCCGTGAACCTTACCACTCGGCCACAGGGCTGGCCCCTCTTATTAGTCTAAAACACCAGGAAGGCAGTAGTAAAATAAGGCTATTCTAAGACTGGAATACAGGGAGCCACGAGCTGGACACTAATTCTTATCTGTGAAGATAAAATTAAGCCAAGAGAGAGTGGGGGTCAGAGAGTGTGGACAGTGTGTGTCAGAGAGCAAAGAGTGAAATCCCAGGATTGGGAATTCAAATGCAGTGGCTATGGACAAACCAAACCTAGGTTCTAAACCAATGGGAGACAATAATTTGGTGACTTTCTGCTGCTGTGGAGAATTATTTGCACCAGATAAGATGCTGTTATTGTGAGAGGGTGTAACTCTATCACCTTTAAAGCTATCGTGTCTTGACAATTATGGTTTAAAGAGATATCTTGAGGGCTATTATATGACATCGCATTTGGGAATGTAACAGAATCTTAAGATGAATGACATCCATCTGGCCAGCACCTTCGCTCAGGATTTGGTGTGCGCTTCACTTCTCCAGGCAGATTTTCCTAACCATAAAAGGACAGGTGAAGTGTGCCTCCCCTGTGCTCCACGGTGCCCTGAAGTTCTCCTTTCACAGAAATCTCATTCTGTAACGTAAGGGCCTTTTTACCTACCTGTCTTCTCTAGTAGATTATAAATTTCGTGAGGGACTATGTCGAGTCCTCAGGACTCCCCCACTTTTGAAGATTCTCTAGGAATGCTCACGAGAGTCTTCATATAGATGTCCTCGTGAATAAGATACATTACAACTGTGTAATAAGGATACACAGCTAGATCAGAAGGGAAAAAGACAGGCAGAGTTTGTGGGAATCCGTGTGCAGGCTTTCTTATGTTCTTTCTATGCCATCAGGGGTCACACAGAATGTGCTCTTCCCTCAGCAATGAAAATGCAGGAAACTGCATGCGATGTTTCTACCCAGGGAAGCCCATTAGAGACACAGTGCCCAGGACGTTTACGGACCGTTGGTCCCATAGGCATCCTCTGCAGAGTACATAACAAAATTCTAGACTCCCAGAAGGAAAGCACGTGTACAGCACTGTCTGGCCAAATCTAGACCTTATCAGTTAACTGTTAACTGGGGACACTCCGAGTGCCAAGTTCCCAGACGCCAGGCAAGGCCCAGCTCTGCAAGCAGGCCCTTCTAAGGATGGCATGTCAAACCTACTATGCTAGCTCTTTTCCGCACAAGGACCATGTCTGTCATATTCCTTGCTATTTTCCCAGAACCTAGCCCATCGCCTGAGACACAGAAAATCTTTGGAAACACTTGCTAAAGGAATTTCCTAAGGCAAAGCTGATAGGAAATAAACAACATAGTTCTCGAAGCTTTGGCCTGAGCATGCTTGAGCATGCACACACACACACACATGGCAAACACTAAAAAATTGACTATAATCCTTTGTTAAGACTTACTTAAGTGCCATAGTACTATAGAAGATTGGGTTTCCAGATAATTTGCTATCTGTTTGAGGGTACAGATCACTGACTCACTGGAGCTCTTTTATGAACTGACAGGGGACCTAGGGCCTGGCTCAAGCCTCAGAGTACCCTTCAGTGCGGCCTGGGGTTAAGGGTGGGGATGGATATGTAAAAGCATAAGATGGAAGCCATCCTCTCTTTCAGCATATTTTTGAGGGCAATAAATCTCTTCTCTCCTTCCTTTCTTCCATCCCTCCTTCCCACTTGCCTGCTTTCTAATCTCTTGCTTCCTCTTGCTTTCTCTCCAATGCATGTGGACATGTCAGATGTGGGGTAAAATGAGTATCTATCCTTGTTGACCATTAACTCAAAAGGCATCCCCACCAATGCTCTCCAGCCAAACACCAGGAACACACCTGGAGTTCATCGAACTGGATTTATGACTTATTGACATGAGGGAGGGCACGCTTTAAGGGGTGTCTCGGTAAAAGGGTATTAGGTAAATTTATTAGAAAATTTGGGGAGGGTTTAAAGAAGCAGGATTTTGCTCTTGATTGGATGCTATCAGGAATCAGGAGTAACTCTATGATTTTTTATCTCAATAGATCTTACTTAGGAGAAGGAGTTTGTGTCTCAAAGAAAAGAAGCGCTGCCTTTGTGTCAGCAGCAAATAGTTTTCCTACAGTCACTTGGAAAAGCAGCTTCAAAGATGTTATATTGTCATGGGTGTGTGTCTATGTAAAAGGGAGGTCTAAGCACTGTTCTTGACTCTGCTCGTTGTTCTTGTCCCATCTTCGATATTCCAGGCACTGGAGTGGGGTTGATCAAGTACATAAAGAGCTGCTCTGTCCTGCCTTGGACGACAGTCACAGTGAAGACCCTTACATTGTCTGCCTCGTATAAGTTTACCAGTCAGCAGTGGAAGAACCAATCAGGGGAGTCTCAATGTACATTAAGAAAGCAACAAGACTTAAATCCTTTCTGTAATAATGCCTTTTCTTTATTTTCTGTTAGACACTGTACTAGGAAACTGGGAAAAAATGATGGGAATGATTTGGTCTCTGCCCTCAAGGAACTTATACTTTAGTGAGAAAAACAGGAACGAAAAGAAACAGATTACAATATGATATGATAAATGCGAAAGGGAACTTGCAGTTATAGAAATAGCATACAGGAAGAACTTTCTTCTTTACATAGGAAGGCTTCAATATGAAGTTATTTCTAAACTGGGTTTTAAAGGATGAATAGAAGTTGTCCAAAACCAAGGGAAGGTGGAGGGTGGGAGGGAGGAGTTAAAACTAGGATCCTGGTCATACCTAAAACCACAGAATGAGGACTTCTCCTTTTCGCAGTATTGTGGGCTAAGGTGCTATTAGAGCTCTCTTCACCACAGCAAAACACTTCTAAAATGATGCGTTAAGCTCACAGAAAAGTATGTAAAATCTTGAAGGGCCAGAAAATAAGAGAGAATGCTGAAATGGATGAACAAAACAGCCATGGAAGCTGCCCTGGGGACAAAAGTCTTATCCATAAGTCAGAGTTTTATGTATCAATGACCACTAGGTGGAAAGACGAAGTCTGGGGTATATGACTCCAGTTAGATAATACTCACAGATTCAAAAATACTGACAAAAGCAGAAGACTAATTCTAGACATTATCTTTCTATGCAAATCTCTTTGCAAAAATGTAGGACAGAATAAGTTTATGGATAATCAACATAAAATGAAAATACTATGTGATTGATTATGAATGTGTACTCAAATTTCTGTCTTGTGTGATAGTCAATACTTTGAAATTATAATAGCAAGTATAAGAACTAGAAAATAGGAAAGAACATAACTAGGGGAGGATGAAAATTAGAAAGGGGTGCTAAAACTAGCCTAATAATTCTAGTCCTCTGTCACAGTCGGGGGCTTGGATAGTAATGAATTTGTACTTCCCAATGCCACAAACTTTTTTTAGGAATCAAAATTCTTCCCAAAGCTAAGATAAATAGTAGTTCCCAAGACAACTCTCTGAAGCTGTGCAAGCAAACCTTTTGAAGAATTCCCATAAAGAACAAACGATGACTGGAAAAATGAGTCATTTAGAGCCCACGCAGGAACATAAATGAGGATAAGTGAAATGCTGTCAAAAGTTACAGAAAGTAGCTGCAGGAGTTAAGTCATTAAAAGGGGGGAAAGAATAAAGTCTTTGAAGGATTTTCATATTGTAGCTGAATGTATGAATATCACAATTTGCTCTTTTTGAAAGAAAGATATTTATTCATTCATGCTTGAATTCATTCACTTAATAAACATTGAAAGCTAAGTATGTGCCAGATGCTGTGTCAAAAGATAGAGATACAAAAATGAATGGGACTCAGTGTGTGCTCTTCTGGAATTCTTAGACCTAAGGTAAGGCCTTCATGTAACAAATGATTATAAGACCATGAGATAAAGGCTCTACTCAGATATAGTGGTGACACTCACAGCCTGGGATGGGAGAGTGGGGAGGAAAGTATATCATCTCTTTATCTGAGAGAACTGTGTGAACTGAGCTCCCGCTCAACAAATATGTTTAAGCGTTTAGTATAGAATGATAACTCAAAAGACTCAAAAGTCTCCCTAAGGACTAAATTAAATGTATTGTTCCCTGTGATGAATATGTGCTTATTCCTATGATCTTCCTTTAATTTTTGGAGTGGGGTGCACCAAGTCAGTGAACAAAACTATTTAAGATTCCTAAGTCAAGGTTAAGAAGCGATCTTCTCCTTCAGTCACAGCGAGGCCGTGCGCACTCTGTACACATCGTCCATCTCAGAGAGAGTTTTGAAGGAGAGAACCTAGGGAAGAAATAGGTTTAGGGGCTTCTGAATCTCTTTCTAAGCATTATAAGTGAAATTTTATACAAGTTATATTGCTTTCTAGGTATACTCCAGCCGGTGTATACATAATACAAGAAGAAAATAAAAACATAAGAAAACAAAAACCAAAAAACAGTAAACAAAGATAAATTGAGATATACAATGGAAATAAATTAAATTATATGAATTTTTGTACATGAATCTATTTCCATTCATAGTATCTTT